TTATTTGGGATCTTTTGAAAATTGAAATTTTACACCAAACTTTTATCTTTTACAAAAACACCCTCTATACTAGTTGTTTGCGTTGTATTACATAATTTTTTACGTGAACACCAAAGTAGTAATGAAATATTCAGTGAATATGAAAGTGATAATATGGTTGTTGATGAAAATGATGAACAATCGGCTTAGGATAACAAAGTCATGTGCTTTGTCTACTTCACGATATATGGAATGATACTTGTTGCACTCACTCCAAACTATCACATTGCTCTAGTGTCATGGACACTACTTGTTATTTGTTGCAACGAAGATCCAATTGACTTGTAATACAAACTTATGGTTAGTTTTGATAGTTTTTAAAATTTATGGATATAAATCATATTTTTCTAAAAAAGTGAAATATATTTCCCAAATATTATGACCAAACACATGGTGAAATTTCACCCAAATAATATTTGCCAAGAATATTTGGAAATCTATGGCCAAACACTAGCAATAACTAAGTTATCTTTTTTATCACTTCTTCTTTGCAATCTCTTAAAGAATGAGAACAGGGCTTTAAGTTCTACATTAGGAATCTTTTATACTGATTTAGGCTCTATTTGTCGGAAGGTTACAACAACACACCCAGTGTAATTCCACAAGTGGGGTCTAGGGAGGGTAGAATATATGCAAATCTTACCTCTATCTTGGGGAAATAGAGAGGTTGTTCCGAAAGATCCTCGACTCAAATGTAACAAATCAAAGCAAACGAAAAGGAATACGGCAGTGAAGAGAACATGTCAATCAATAAGGAAGGTAGTACAAAGCATTCAGAGAAAAAAAACATTAACAACGGGATAATGCGGTAGCTAAAAAGAAAATACATGTACAAGACTAATACTACAACAGACACAGACACAGACACAGTGCTTCTAGGCTCCCACCAAGCCTAAACCTGTCGAAAAGCGAGTCAAAGCTCAACTACCTACTAACCTTCTACCATAATCTGCGACCTCCATACCCTCCTATCTAAAGTAACCTATTTGTCGGTAGGGGTTGACAGTTCAAAATCACATCAGTAGCATAAACAAGATATGTTCATGTAGGGGTGTTCTAACATGATAATTTTTATCACTAGCCGCCTCAAGTATCAAGAGAGATTTCGGTCTATCCACTCATTAATTAACTTTTGGTTTTTCTTAAGGAATATAACTCATTATCACAAGACCTTGGTTACCCCACACATGGAAAGTATAATAGTATATGGCTTATCACTTTAACCTTTGATATTCTTTCTTCTTGTAAAGTAGTGACTACGGATTTCGGAAACAGCTTATAAAAAAGTCAGATGAGGAACACTTAATGGCTCATTACTGAATAAAAAGAGTAAAAGATGGCATGGCTTCCCAGAAGCCTTTTTCAAAGAACTTAAATGGTGGCAATGTCATACTTGGTCCAACTCCAACCTCAAGGGAGTAGAATTCCTATTAGGAGAAAAGGAACGATGCTATGGCTATACATTGGAAGAGTTATAATAAAAGGCTTTTGTATGAAACACAAGCTAGGAAGAATTCAAATCCCTCTTAGTCCAGGTTTGTTTTATCCATATTTTGGAGACAAGGTATTTAGTCAACAAAAGTTTCCGGCTCGAACACATATGTCATGGCCTTGTTACACCAAAAACTAAGCAAATCACGTTTGTTCAAAATTAACTAAATTGCCTTTCTGTCTTCAGAAACTCTAGCATTCCTTTCTCTCCATGGGACCACCACACCACAGAGGGGATTTTTTACTTTTAGACATCTTTTATGTAAAGAATCAATGTGTTTACTTGAGTTTTCTAAGTTGGAGACATATTCCTAATAGTTGCAAGGTGAAGTCTTTGATGCACTGAATACTTTGAGATCGATCTTTTTTGTTAAGTGTAGTTAATTACATCAGAATTCAGAGGTGGAGGTTTTTTGTTCTGCAGCAAACCTTCTGTCTAGCATTCATGAACATCTCTTTTCAATCATCACAAAACTTTCTCCATTGTTTCACCCTTCAGATAATCTTCTTTGCCTGTTTTCCAACTAATTGATCCTTAATAAGCCTCAAAATTGTCATACATTTCCACATTAAGCACTATAAATTAATCACATTGAAAAGTAATGCACCTTTCATAGAAGGGGAAGATTGCTTCTGGTTACTACTTCCTATTTGCTAAAAGATCATCCTTTCCAATTTCATATTCATGCATTAATTCCCGCCCAGATGGGACGTAAAGCCATGAGATCCTTCCGATTCTTTAATAATTCATTACTCTTACCTTGACACCACCTTCACACAAAGGAAACAGAGATAAAAGGTTCCCCAACCTTATGTTGAGGACCAAAATTTTGCATAGGCGGCAAACAAAAAGGAAGAGCAAGAACATGGTGTAGTAGTATGGAAAGCCAGCATATGGAATTAAGTGGTAGATGGCATTTTTCACAAATGCAGATTAAAGCAATGTGTGTGCAGAGGAGAGAACAAGAATAGACATGCAAGTAAACAATAAGCTAGAAGTATTATCAGTTTGTATGGTTATCTATATTTGTTGAAGGGAGTTAACTTTTTAATGATAAAAAACATCAATCAGAATATCAGTAATAACGAAAATGACGAGTTTGAGGGTAATTACCAGCTAAAACGGAAAAGAAAAATATTGCCAACCGGTATCTGACAAACCATGGTAAGTCAACTTCAAGAGAGCAATACTTTGGGAATTTTCCCAAGCCAATGGTCATTTCAGAGTCTATCTTTTGGCCTTAGAGTTCTGATAATGTGATTTTCAATGCACTAACTGGCAACCCCTTTTCATCTCTGACATGAAACTTCAAATCTACTGGATCTGAATCCCAATTGATCTCAATGGTACCAAAGTTTGGTTGACCTAGATTATATCCACATACTGAAGATTAATTATCTAGACACAAAAGCTGTCATAGTACATATTTAAAAAAGGGCACAGGAAAATGGGTTTACCTTAAGTGCACGAACGGTATCTGCAGCTTTTGTCCTTTACTCTCATTATAGCTGGAGTTAACCATGCCAAAATTCTCGCAATGAAACGCAGCAGTGGAGATACTGCTTGAGTAAGGCCACTTGATGTTATGTCATACAAGGGATAACCAGCTGCATAATTATATCTTGCAATTTCTCCAAAGTGAACATCTCCACTTATGAAGAAAACCCCTTCCCTCTGTACAAGGAAAACAACTAAATCCATCATGTGTATAGCAAGAGGTATTAGACATCGCCAACCTAACTGAAAAATGTGGATGAAACTAGATAAAGCAAATCTGACTTCTGCATAAACATGTAGCCCTAGGAAAAGACAACAAAACTAAAGCAGGTGTTATCGGAAATGTCAAATTTCCAGTTGCTCTAGTCAGCAATTCTCTTGCCAATTAGGACCAGCTAAATACTCAAAAAGAAAATAAGTTTAAAATGAAAAAAGAGAAGAAGAGTCAACCATGGCACCAATCTTCACCACCCCCAAGAAGCTCTCTTTTCTTCAGTCACTAGGAGATGTGTATCATAACTTTTTTTTTATCAGTAACAGATAGTGTTTATATATTGCAACGTCAAGAAGATGCTGAGAAGTATGTACAACTAGCAACAATTACATACTTTTTAATGTGCTAAAAAATCAAGCATAGCTTCTACACCACTAATTGAAGCTATGTTGCACCAAAAAGGAAGGAGATACAACATCTGTATTTAACTACAAATACAGTTCACTATTGCTCTCGAAAATCCTAGCTCTTCTAACCATCCAAGTAGATCAACATAAAGCTGCAGGGATCAAGTTCTTTACTTGGACCTTTTTTGTGCCAGCAATGCAGCAGATCCAGAGTAGACCTGGGCATAATCCAATTAAGGCCAAGCCCATTAGGATAGAGTGTTTCCTTGGTAATCCATGGATTAAGGAGACCGTACTTTTTTCAGTTACCATTCTCCACAAAATTCTTCCTCATGAGAGTATCTCCATAACCATTTGAGTCTTCAAATTCCTTAGCCCTAGCCCACCATTCTTATTATCTGTAGTGACTGAATTCCATCTTACCAAGTTTAAACTTCTGCCAAAGGAAGCCCCTCCTCAATCTATCCAACCTTGTAGCAATTTACGGAGGAAGAGGGAAAAAGGCATGGGAAGGAAGTCCAGAACACTATTAATTAGGTAAAGCTTCTTTTCACTCTTTTCCAGAATTCCCATCATAACTTGACATGAAAGTTCCAAGTATGTCTAATTAAAAGTGAATTAACTCAAAAGTTCAATGTGTTGTGGACCATCAAGCATAATGTTGCCACTACGAATGTTAGAGTTCCATATTAGTTGAGCGGTTATCTTTATATCATAGACAATTCTCACCTCACAAGCTACCGCAAGACCCAAAGTCTATTTTTCTTAACATGGTGTTATTTAATTTGCTCAGAAGTCAGAAAGAATCAGTATTGAGCTTTCCACATTTGGAAGCCGAATCAGTAATGTTTCTGAGTCTAATATCATATTGAACCATGGTAGAGTTTCTCTCATCTAACTTAAAACTTTTAATTAAGGTAGTCAAAGAAATTTGACTTGGTTTTGGAGCTGGCAAAAGGTACAAACATAATGACACACTGCCATCCATAATCAAAAGAAGTCCTACATGCTTGCTGAAGAAAAAAGAGTCAGGTCGCACACTGAGGGGCAAATTGCTAACCTGGCATAAATAAATAGTTGTGTCCCCTCTCTAAGTACTATTTAAGTTTTTTGATGAGTAGGTAACACAATTCAACACACCGTTGGTAATTTGATAAAGAACACTTTTCTCCTCTCCATGGGGCAGGAAGAAGGTGGAAAGGCCTTGATGCAGGGGTAGGAGGACTTCAACAGGGTTAGCCTTGGCCATGGGACTGACTGGATAAAATTAAGAGAAAGAGGGTAACGGTGGCTGGATGCATGTGGGAAAGGGAGGATACAGTTAAGGGTAGGCAGAGGAAGAGGAGCTGAGGATCATGGTGGTTTGTTTGTTTTCTTCTTCTTTTATTTCTGATGATTATTCACATTAAATTATTCAGCTTTCGGTGTAGTCGGACCATCTGTTAGTTGCAACATAAAAGACCCAATAGCCAAAAATAAAACTATAAGGATTTGCTTAATATATTAATGATCTACCGTTGTGGGACTAACCAAATCTCTATAATAGGAAAGAAAGAATGTGTTAGTGAAAACTTACAAGATAACAAAAATACAACATTACAATTGAAAATAAATCTCTTCAGGCTGAGGTACGGATATTTCGCTCTCTTTAAAGAGATTCAAGCCCACTGCAACAAATGTTTTCACCAGTCCAGCAGTAGTCCTTCTTGACTTGTCCCCTCCAGGATACAACAGCCTAATCACAAAATATAACTCAACAACTCTGGACAAGAGTTGAGTCCAAAGCTCCACAAAAGAAACACCTCTCTTCAACTAATAAGAACTCACTTTTTGACAAACCTTATGCACTCTATATTTTCTTGTTGTATTGTGTGTAACAAATCAAATGAAGACCACCACTATTTATACTAGAAGAAGTCTTCCTAGCAATGAATATGAAGATAATGGTGTAGTAAATAGTGAAGATAATGATATTAAGAGTTACATAGGTTACAAGAATAATGGAGGAATAAAGAATGAAATAAAAGTTGAGGGCAACAAATGCACTAACGTGCAGATGCCAACGTTCCATTGCCAACGTTCATAAAGCAATATGCCTTATGCCTCTGGTCATTAATTGACCATGAGTAATTAGGCACAAATGTCATACATTTCAGCAAAGACTTAGTATGGCAGTGACAATGTGAATATGTAACAATTTGTATAATATTAAAATGGTCACACCAACA